TTAGTCATGCTTGAAAACTATAGTTTTAAATGGCTTGGTAGAGGCCATTTGAAAAGTAGTCTGCAAATTATTATCATCATACCAAGATCTGTGTAAGCGTTTTGTTACTGCTCTCTTCTGTCCCAACTTAAAAAAACTTATATATAATATATATATTTTCCTTCTCTTTGCTCCTAGGATGGAGATGGAGGCCGATTACATAGGGCTACTTTTGATTGCCTCGGCTGGATATGATCCTCGAGTGGCCCCACAAGTGTATGAGAAATTGGGACGAGTAGCTGGCGAGTCGGCTTTGCAAGATTATCTTGCCACTCATCCTTCAGGGAAAAAGAGGGCTCAAGTGCTTGCCCAAGCTAAAGTCATGGAGGAGGCACTTTCCATATATAGAGAAGTACAGGCGGGACGTGGGGTCGAGGGTTTTCTTTGAATTGTCATTATTCTCTAACATTAATAAAAAAAAAAAAACAAATAATAAAAATTAATGTTGTCTTTTTGTTTGTCTTTAGTGTTCTCTAGCTTAATCATAATATAGAAGATTAATTAGCCAATTCTTTTAGTATGTTTTTTTAATTGGTTTCCCTTTTAATTTTTCTTGGTCCATCACCAGAAAATGAAATGGCTGTTGAAATGGTTTTGCTTTTGAGAAAATTACCTCCTACACCAGGTAATTCATATTTTATTACATAATTAAAACTATTTTACAAATATTAGCAATATAGCAAGAAATCATATTTTTATTTGAAATGGTTTTGCTTTTTAGAAAATTACCTCCTACACTAGATAATTCATATTTTGTTACATAATTAAAACTATTTTACAAATAATAGCAATATAGCAAAAAATCAAATTTTTATTTGCACCTTTACCTAAATTGTATTGTATAAATAATTTAGATACATAATCAATAAAAAACCAACATTGTGTCTTTGTCTCCTTCTTCTCAACACAATTGTCAATTATCTTCACTTTTTCAGAAAACCTTAAAAAGGAAAAATCAATGGCAAAAAGAAAATCCCTCCTATAGTTGGTAAAAGCATACTGAGCGGTGCCGATGCAATCTAAGAGCATCTCCAATGCTCCACTTTGAACATTAATTAAATTTGAACACATGTCAAATGATGAATGGAATGTAAATCCATGTAATATGAATGTTAAAAGAGAAGACTTTAACTTGGAATGCACATCTCCAATGCATCCCTTTCAAAAGCTTAAAATAAGTTAGATTTTTGATGAGTTGCTTTCAAACACTCTTTGGAAAACTAGAAAGTGGGCTTCACACTTTGGATGTTTATTGTCTCCATGTCAGCATAAAAGAGTCCATAACATTATGTATTGGAGATTAATTTTTGTTTTCACTTTATAACTTGATGATGTGGCTAACATTTTATTAAGTAAACATCTCACATTGGAGATGCTCTAACATATGGCACCGTACTTCCCGAATATGTTGTATATCTCCTCGCTCGTTATGTTGAACGACAGGTTACGGACGCACAGTACACGGTTGACCTCTGGCGGGAGGCGAGTGTTTCTCTTGCGGAGGCTGAGTGCGGCCATTGACAGAAAATTTGTGAGGTTTTCTGAGCTTTAGTGCATCGATTTGTTAATTTTTTTGATTTGGGGATTTTTTTTTTTTTTTTTTTCNTTTTTTTTTTTTTTTTTTCATATTCTTTATGTGCAATGCGAAAGGTTCGGCTTCGAGTTATGGTGAGCGACGGTCAATTGTACGAAGGTATTGTCAATTCGGATCTGAGGACCAATTAGCGATTTGGCGGTGACGGTCCAGGCTGAGGGCGAGATAGTCGGCGAATTTTCTCTATCTCTTTCTTCCCTTATCTCCCCTTCCTCCTTATCTATTTTGTTAAATGCAAACTTGTATAATGATTTCTATTCGTTGTTTTGGTTTTATTTTAGTTTATATTCAATATGTATGATTAATGATTGATGATGTTTCAGTTGATGATAATTTAAGCTTTTTTGAGAACTTTTTTCGTTTGATTTATTATGTTGTGGGATATGTTGCGTTTATATACAATATATTTTCAATATATGTTCTCGCAAGCACAATTGGTAGTATATGTTGCGTATATAGGCAGTATATATTCAATATATGTTTTTGTTGCCCGTGCTTCATGTGTTTCTCATCTGGCCCGTGCTTTGTGTGTTTATCATATATTCTACATATACTAAAATAATTTATTAAAATAATGATTATTATCAGCTTATGATAGGTTATATACTGAACAAAAATTTAAATATCACAATTGTGGTTAGATAAAAATGCTATGTGAATAAAAAATCAGGTTATATACTGAATATATACTAACTATAAACGTAATATATACTACCTATTCAAAAAATTTGAGAACTGAAAACCCATGATCTGCACGTAAGGGAGAGGTAGTTACACTTTATTTGGTAACAAAAAATCTTATAATTTGATGTATATTTAATTAATTGACATGAAATTAGTAAAGATACAAATAACGTTTGCCCCATGGTAAAATTATAATTTTTTCAAATCAGGTACTATAACTAAAAATTCGCTTTTGCTTTTTGCAGCTGTGCACGATAACTTGGCATAAGGAGATATTTTGGTTTATTCTTATGCATGTGCTTGTCATTGGCTCATTGCAACTTTGTATTTAATTGATTAATTAGATGTTTAAAATAACACAAGTTACCATGAGTCCAAATAGAGTCGTCCCGTGAGCTCCACCAAAGGGACGGGTGGCGCTTTAGTTTTGACAGAAAATATTTAAGGTTCATTTGATAGAGGTTGTAGGATAAGATAATTTTTATCTTATCTACCAAATAGAGGTTATAGGATAAGATAATATTTATCTTATCTACCAAAATTTGCTTGTAGAGATAAAATAACTTTTTTTGTTTGTTTTGTATGATTAATACAAGATAAGTTATTTTGGATTTAATGTGTGTGTTTGTTATCCTAGATAATTTTGAGAATAAACTGTGCTTTTACAAATATACCCTTCATCATTTTATCTAAAATTTCATGTTGCTTTTGGACATTTCTTTTTTTTTTTTTACCAAAACGACAGAGTGACTATTATATAACTCAAGGGGACAAAGTCCGAATACACTGTTTAGAGTACAAATAGATCGAATCATAAAGACTAAAATGGGAGACACACCCAAAGGTGGTCTAGAGCCTCAACAAGAGGAAATACTACAAAATAGCAACAATATCAAAAAGAATCAGCTCCCCTCTACTGCTAAAAGCCTAGAGGAAGACTGACTCCTACAACTAACTAAGAACTAGAAAAGAGAAAAACAATCAACTACACTAGAAAGCAAGGTGGGAAGAAGAGAACTGGAGCCATTCAGAGTGAGCTATCTTCAATAACTGGGTTTCAGGCATGAGATTGTTTTGGAAGATCCACATGATTTCCAAAGCCACCAAAAGATGTAAGTTGATAATTGTATCCTATCTTCGGTTGCTTTAGAATGATCAAGAGAGCAGATGTCAAGCCACCAATATCTAAATTTGTTCCTGCTGCCTTTGACACCTTCCCATCTTACAGGAGAGAGGTCCCAGGTTTTGCAAGCTCTTGGGCAAGTTAGAAGGACATGTTCAATGGTTTCAGCTGATTCACCACAGATGCTGCATATGGCCTCAATGTCAACTCTTTTCTTCCTCAGTAGAACTGCCACAGGTAATGTTTCAGTTATGCACTTCCATAAGAAATGTTTGATTCTCCCAGCCACCTTTAGTTTCCAATGTCTGAAATGGACAGATTTATGAATGAGCTGATGAGAACTGCTCTCTGGAATGTCCAGCTGCCTTAGTTTAGCTTTTGGACATTTCATATAACTCAATTTGTTCTTGAAAAATCATATGGATTTTGCACGACCTGTTAATAATTTTTTTTTTTTACTTTTTCCTGAGAATATCCACTTTATTCTAATTTAATATTTAGAATATCAATAAAAATACATAATATTCAACATCTTATCTTATTTACTTATATTTTTAATATAATTTTCTAAATATTAAAATTAATTATTATTATTCACCAATTTTGTTATTTTTGAATGGAGAAATCATGGAGTTTTTGAGAAATCCAAAATTGTGAGATGCCTAACTCTGCTTATCAAAATGAAGAAGTGACCATGAAGCCAATTTCGAGCACCGTACAGAGAGATTGAGGATGGGAGCAAAAGTAAAGGTCATTAAGGTATGATGGCAATTTTGTCATTATTCGCCCACATAAGGATGTAGTTGTCCAAAATTTAAAAAAGCAGGGATAAAAAGGTACATTAACAATGCATATACTGTGGAGATTTTGGCAATCTTGGAAGAGAAGCCCAAATGGAGTCGTCTTGGAAATCCTAGACAAAGCCACATTTGGTCGCGGGCCGTCAATAAAATCGCGGGCTGCAATCTTAGACAACAAACAAGTTTTTTTTGGGATGATAAGGGGTGCAATCTCATCCTATCTTACCTAACAAATGTGCTCTTAGAGCACATTTGGTTGGGCGATAGAATTGGACTATATTTATCTCATTTAATAATATTGCACTGTTAAGATATTTTCCATTTCTTGTTTGTTTGCTTGATATGGTAAACACTGAAATTAGTGAAATGACCAAAATGTACACAAATAATAATTACTCTCTTATTTTTATTCTACTTTTCCTGTTAACCATCTTTTTTCCTCTCTTCTACACCTCATCTTCTTTTTGCTTTTCTCTTATCTTCACCTTGTTCTTTCCAATTCTTTTCCTTTATCCTTATTTTTCTCTTTTTATTTCTTCTTCACTGTTTCTTTCTTTTCCTTCTTTTATCAGATTTTTGAAAATGAGATCTCTTTTCTTTTTTCCTTTAATTCTCCATTACTTATATTTTTCCAAATTTTTTTTCTTTCGGCTTTTACCTTTTTATTTTTGTTTCATCTTCTATTTGTTGCTAGTGGCGGCCACCCGTTGGACCACCAATAGATCGTGCTGATGGCTTTTAGGATGCCGGATCACACCAATAATTGTGGTTGGGCTAGTGTGCAGAAGAAAAAATAACATTCCGTTCTTGCAAACGAAGATTGGCTGGCGGATGGAGACGGTGGCTGCCCTGGCCGTCGACGGCAGGTGCTGTGCCATCTGCTACCGGTGTTCTTAAATTAGGGTTTTTTATTTTCCAAAATTTGGTCCAAATATGAATTTGAGGTTTTCCTTTCTTAAATTTTGGTAGAGAAACAAATTTGAGATCTTACAACAGATATATAAAATCTGGCTGTGATTGATTTTCTTTACAACACATAAAAAACTGGAAAAATGGCGGTTGCGTGGCGGAGGTGGGGAAGATCGACGGTGAGGTTGGGACATTGCCGACCGGTGGACGGGGAAGTGGGCGGCTGCGGCGGTGGGCATGGGGTGGCTCTGATGAATGTGGGGTGGCTGCGACAAGCCGAACTCATATATTTTTGGGAAAATTACAAACTTGGATATTTATGTAATTTACCATTTAAATTAGCCTTGATAAAATTTATCATAGCCCCTCCCCCATGATAGTATAGTCCTGAGTATCCAAGATTATGGTGAATTTATCCCGGGCCGACCATTATCATGCGGGCTTCAATCTGTGCTATCAAACATAGGATAACCCATGATTAATGAGGTAATCCTATCTAATCCACTCAACCAAATGTGTTCTTAATTGAGTAAAATTAGATTTGTACTTAATTAAATTAATTATTAGATTAGGTATAATTACCTATTGAGCCATAGGATCTTTTACTTATATAATTAGGTTTGACCTAATTATAAATACTGTTGACATCAAATTTTGGCCTCGCCTATTAAAATATTACACGTAGATATATGTATTAAATATATATAAATATAGCAGGATTAGTACGCCGATTATTTAAATATCGATCGAGTTCCCAAGTACCCAGATGATCCACGTTCGAGCCGAGCAGAATTAATATAATCCGCTGACCTGAATATCGAGAAGGTCCGTTTCCAACCGACACAATAATTGCCGATAAAGTATACATCAATCGAGGCCGTCAAGTGTCATGATCGGGCCCCACGGTGTCATCTCACATTAAATATTAGCGTTCCCTATTTACCTATTTTTTAATAGGCCCACTTGTAAGCCCACTTGTAGGAAAAGGGGGATGTATATGTATAGGGAAAGAGGAGGATTGATGGACGATGGATTCATCTTCTTAAAACAACAATAATACAAAAAATTCTTGATTTTTCTATCTTCAATATGCATACAATCGATCCGAACACCGATTATTCACGAAATAGGGGTGTTCATTTTAGTTGATCAAATCCGTTTATCAACATTTTGGCGCTAGAAGGAGGGCTCCGTAATTTGCTCGGGGTTAATCTTCAACGAAACACAGCCGCACCTCTGCCAAGAAATCATCTTCGTCAAGTATGACAAATTTATTCACACTATTGCTTTCATTTTTCCATTTTCTGAGTTTTGCTCATCATCATGTATTACCTTTGTGAGCTGGAAATTGAAAACTCAAAAGAAGAATATCACTTTCTGGTGAATAAACAAAACATGGGGCCACATCACC